GTTGGCAAAATAATATTGCACCTGTAGTTCTACATTCACGCTGTGATTTTTAGTGGATGTTCAAAGAACACATTTCTCTGATTGAAGGGCCAATTCAGTATATGTTTAATTCAGACAGCAGTCACGCAGAAATAATAGGGTTTGGCTATCTGCCAACTCGATCGTACGAAATGCCGGTGCCTTGGGACTCAAGAATACAGACACTTTTTTGATGTTGGGAAAACCTCACCAGAGCGACACCACTTAGCGAAGTCAAAATTGGCAAAGGCCCTGAATTCCTCGTACTTGACGTTAATCCTATATCAAAGTAGTTGTGTTGAACTCGCCGCTTAATGAACATCAGACCCAAAGCACCGCCGGGCCCTAATCTTTTATTTGGGCCTACCACCAGGTGTTTGTAGCCCGCAGACAGCTTGCCCAGAAAGGCACGACACAAATTCAAACCAGGGTGCGTGCTGACGCTGGAAAGACGTGTTTTGAGGAGCAGCGGAACACGCCGTCAACATTTAACTTGGGACAGTCCCATATTGAAAGTGAAGATTCGGGACGGCCCCATGATATAAGTAAAGATCGGAACGTTTCCATGATGTAAGTGAAGATTCAGAGCGGTCCCATGAAGTAAAGAGCTTATCCAAACACAAATAGCTGCGCGTCGGAGGGTAAATGTACGCGAGCAGGATGATACGATTGGTTGGGTGCACATTTTTTGGGATGTCGCTGGCTTAAAACAGAAAACTCGGGAAACACCTTGACTGTTTCCACTTTGGTTTGCCCGTCTTCTGGAGCAGCAGCTTTGCGCTGTTCTTCTTCGGATTCTCGATATGGTCGGTTATGAAATGGGATTATGGCAAGCCAAAAGGAAGGAAGAAAGAGAAACAGAGAGTACAGCACTAAGCCCTAAGTAAATGGCGTGCTGGACTGTGCTTCACTTTGACTTGGATTCAAAGCCGGCGAACGCCCCGTCAGGGGTGTTTGTATTTTTTGGTAGTATGACAGGCCTCGTTTCCCATTCTTGTTGTAATTTTAGGCTCACTTCTGTGTTAATTACAGGCTTCTTTGTTGTAGACCTCACTCTCTGTTGTGATACATTATGTGAAATCTACCACAACTCAATGCTCAGAAAATCAAACTCGTATATCATCTTTGTACGCGAAGTACTGGGATCACCAACTTAAGGATTGTGTGTTCTGCTTACTTTGTTGTAATTTAAGGCTCAATTTGTTGTAATTCTAAACCCACTTCTGTTGTAGTTGCATGCTCACTTATCGTGTAATTGCAGGCCCACTTCTGGTGTAATTGAGGATCACATTTGATATTATTGAGACTCACATTTTATGTAATTGAGGCTCGCATTTGGGTGATTACAGAATCACCAAAGATCAATGCTCAGGAAAGATATCCTCGTATATAATCTTTTCATACGAAGTGCTGGAGTCGCTATTTTGAAGGCTTGAAAGATCTCTTGGACAGCGATCTTTTGACGACAGACGTAGGTCACACATGAAAATATTTCAACGTTTTTGGAAACGTCTATGCTTATATTGTGGCTTGTTAGCTTTTTCAGCCACCTATGTTAGAATCAACTTCTCAATATACAGAAAGAGCTCCGCGAGTTTCTATATGACAAGACCCAGAATGTCTGATCAGAAAGGCAGAGCACGACGCTACTCCGGATAATACATTTACACTAGATTTGTTGGGAAGACACCGACTTTGACTTGAATGCCTGTAATATCGGAGAGTATTAAAAAAGCGCCGTATGTCACAAATGCGGGCCAAGGTGGCGGGCCAGGCAGTGATAAATAGAGATGGGCCGTGTTCTGATACTAGGGACGAATTTGGGAGCTGCTTCAACTTTGTTGTTTTTTCACACTGTTAAGTGATTGTTTCTTTTATCTGATAAATCTCCCAAGAAAAAACTTGAGACCACACATTAGCGAGATTATTGTTTGCTTGCCTTTGGCCCTGACATGAACAAGTGATAATTGGCTCGAAATTACCTGGTCATAGTTGAACTTTGAGCCAAACTTTCAAACACAGATGTAAACTTCAATCAGTTTATGAGAGGATTCACCTCATTTTTGGATATCTGAGCTGTTAATACAAAGAACAATCACATTAATGGACAGGTCTAGAGGTAAGAGACCCGTTGGACGTATACGGTTTTGTACTCTCGTGCATAGCTGGCTTCCTATGAAAACATTCTAATCGTATTTGATATCTGAAGGTATATAAAACCGAGCCTGGAATTAGGAAGAACGAATGAGTTAAGTTGGGTATTATACTGATCTTAGCCTCACAACGAGAATTGTATCGAGTGTAGCCTTATTTTCTGTTGTGCTCAGCTTGTTGTGATTACAGGCACATTTCTGCTGAGATTAAAGGCTCATTTACTTCCCTGCTGTAATATAGGTCACTTATACTTACTTGCTCACTTGTTCACTTGTTCACTTGTTGTAATTACAGGCTTACTATGTTGTAATTGCAGGTCTTACTGTGTTGTCTTTGCAGGCTCATTTACTCTTTTCTGCTGAAATTACAGGCTCACTTTGTTGTAATTACAGGTCTCACGATGTTGTGACTACAGGTCTTACTATGTTGTCTTTGCAGGCTCATTTACTCACTTGTTGTGATTGCAGGTCTCACTTTTGATATAGTTACAGGCTCAATTCTGTTGAAGTTAAAGGCTCATTTACTCACTTGTTGTAATAACAGGCTCGCTCTGTTGAGATTACACTCTCTTTTACTCTCCTATTGTAAATACAGGTCACTTGTACTTACCGGCTCATTTACTGACTTGTTGTGGTTACAGCCTCGTTTTGTTGTACTTACAGGTCTCACGTTGTTGTAATTACCGGTCTCACTATGTTGTAATTACAGGGTTCACTGTGTTGTAATTACAGGTCTCACTTATTGTAATTACAAGCTCACTTTGTTGTAATTACAGGCTCACTTTGTTGTAATTACAAGCTCACTGTGTTGTAATTACAGGTCTCACTTATTGTAATTACAAGCTCACTTTGTTGTAATTGCAGGTCTCACTATTACAGGTCTCACTTTCGCAGTAATTGCAGGTCTCTTTTTTGCAGTAACTACAGGCTCACTTTGCAGTAATTGCCAGCTGTGGCCGACCAGTCCACACCTCCTCCTGCACGCCCGCAGGCCGTGCCGTTCCGATGTGCCCCGGGTTCCCCTCGCGGCGGATTCTGCAGCCAAACGCAAACCCAACCTCCGCCAAAAACCAACAGCCAGTCTCTCCGGACCCAGGCCAGGCCGCCTGCAGAGAGCACCTTTTGACGTGGCGTCTCACCGCCAGACACCCTCGCGCCAGCCGCGCCGAAAAAGGAAACATCCCACACAGAGACGGAACTGCCCGAACCGGCCGCCTCCAAGCACTAAACATAAATACCGGCACCGCACCAGGCCAACACCAGTCCAACCAGGCCCATCCAAATAGGCCCCTCCAAATAGGCACATCCAAATAGGCCCGTCCAAATAGGCCCCTCCAAATAGGCCCCTCCAAATAGGCCCCCTCAAAAAGGCCCGTCCCAATAGGCCCCGGCCGCCGTCCGCCGTCTTTTTTTCCCGGGCCCGCCTGGCCCAACCCACGCAAAAAGTTTTCTCGCTGGCCCCGGTTTTTTTACCCGCTCCACGCACCGGGTCTCAGCACTCTGTTTTTGTTTGAGCCCCCGTGCTCACCTCGTGCCAACAGCGGCTCTGCCACCTGGAAAACACACCGACGCAAACCATCCAAAAACTCCTGGCACCACCCAAAACACTCGAGGCACCACCCAAAAAATACCTGGCACCACCCACAAAAACACCTGGAAACTCCCGCCAAAATACCTGGAAACTCCCGCAAAAACACCCGCGCATTCCACCCCTCCCGCCAATCTTCCCAGTGTCTCAATCCCCCAATCCCACAAAGCCCACAGATCCCACAAACCCTAGAAATCGGTCTCGCTGCCGCAGCCCCTGCCTAGGTCCAACACGCACCCGCCGGGCACGCCGCTTTTAGCCACGGCTCGTATCCTCCTTCTGGGTCCTGGCTGCCACAAAAAAACACACAAAACACACAAACACACAAACACAACAAAAACACACAACAACACGCGCCCGGCCCGACCCCCACTTCTCGTCACTCCTTTCCCTCCGCCCGGCCGACTTCCGCCGCGCCCAAAACACAAACCCACATGGCCGACCAGCCGCCTGCCCTGCCACACGCCAAGGCGCCGCCGGCCAGCCCCAAGCGCTTTTTGCGGGCGTTCAACGCGCCGCCGTTCCGCCCCCAGCCGCTGACACAAACACGCGAGGTCCGCCCCGGGGGCCCGGCCGCTCCCGATCTCCCCCGGGACCCGTCGCCGTCGCTCTCGCCGCTGTTCAAGTTCCATTCGCGCAGCCGTAGCCACGACCTTGTGCACGCGGCACGGCCGCTGCCGGCGGCCCCAGCCTGGACCCAGCTCATCCCGCCGCTCCCGGCCACGCCGCGCCGCCGCACCAGCAACCGCCACACCATCGCCATTTCGCCGGAAGAAATGGCGTCTTTCCCGCTGGGTCTGCCGAAAAACGCGTCCCAACACGCCGGCCTGCCGAAACCAGTGCCCCCGATGCCCCAACGACCGCCGCCTCGCGCGTACTCGTCCACCAATCTGCTGACGCCGCTGCTGGCCGACACCGTGGCGCCGTTTTCCCGGCCGGGGGGGCCGCCGGGCCCGCGGGTGCCTCCTGCCGCGGCCCAAAAGACCCACAAGACCCACAGCTCGCGCCCGCCGCAGACGCCGCCGCCGCACTTCGCAGCGTACGCGCCTGGCGTGCCGGCGGCCGCTTCGCCGCGTGATCCGCGGCCGGATTCGGGCCCGCGCACGCCAGACGGGCCGTCTTTGGCCCCGGCGCCGCCTGCGTTGGTCGCCCAGGCCTCGCTGCGCGCCGTCACGGTGGTGCCGCCTCCTGGTCTGGGCCCAATCGTGCGGTCTCTGGGTGACCAGCAGGGCCCACAGCCCATGCCACCAGCTCAGTCCACGCCTGCCACTCAGTCCACGCCTGCCACTCAGTCCACGCGTGCCACGCCGCCACAGGCGCAGCAGCACCAGCAGAGATCGCGGCCTTCCATAAAAAAACGCAAGACCTGCAGCCTGTGCCACCAGGCTATCAACGGCCAGTTCGTGCGGGCGCTCAACAACGCGTACCACGTCGAATGCTTCAAGTGCCACGAGTGCGGCGCGCTTTGCCTGGCCAAGTTCTTCCCCCACGAGGTCCTCACGGCCCAGGGCACGGCCGTCCAGGTGCCGCTTTGTGAGTATGACTACTTCAAGAAGTTGAGTCTCATCTGTCATTCCTGCGATAGCGCCTTGCGGGGTCCGTACATCACCGCGCTAGGGAACAAGTACCACTTGGAGCACTTCAAATGCCATGCCTGCGGCAAGGTCTTTGAGTCCGACGAGAGCTACTACGAACACGACAACAGCGTCTACTGCCATTTCCACTACTCGCAGCTCTACGCCACCAAATGCGAGGGCTGTCATTCTTCGATCGTCAAGCAGTTTGTCGAGCTCTTCAAGAGCGGGAAGGTCCAGCAGTGGCATCCGGAGTGCTACATGGTGTTCAAGTTCTGGAACGTGAGCGTTACCATGGAATCGGTGGGCCTACCGGAAAACTTCGCTCTTGACGCCGCCGCCCTCGCCAACATCACTGTACAAGACTTGGTCATGTCAGAGCAGAAAATCGAGACTGCAGTTATGAACTGCTGGGTTGTCTTGTCCGGCTTCGAGGAAACCTCGGCTTCGTGCATCTCCGAAATGCTTCTCTCCGCATGTGCGGGCAAACGCCTGACCGGACTATTGACCACAGGAAAGTTGGTGCTCTATTTGGAAGTCTTGTTCCAGGCATTGGACCATGTGCAGAACATGTGCTTGGAATGCAAGCCTGACAGTGTGTCGCTAAGCGACTCCAAAACAGCGCTCTTGGACGAAGTGTACTCCGTGGATGCGTTCGACAAATTCCAGGCGCTTCGAAAGGAGCCCAGAAATATTTCGGGCAAGCTCATGAGCTACTTGGCCATTCTAAGAAAATCACACAAGATTGCTGAATCCGGCAGTCTCTCCTCTGAACTCCTTGCCGTGATTACTGGATGTGCGCACTACTTGAAGCTCTTGATCAGAATTGGTTTAAACAATGCCCTCGCCCTAAACAAGCTCCGCGGCGACACAAAAGCGTTGGACGGGTTCTTGGGCCTAGTGAAAAATTACGAGGAAGTCGACTTGGCCTCAAAGGCTGAAGGTGACGGGAAAAGATCTTTTGCCGCCCGTTTCTCTGTGCCTCACAACTCAACTGATGCATGCCGCTCGTGTTCCAAAAGCATCGAAAAGTCGTGCATTATGTTTGCAGAGTTCAGATGGCATCACAAGTGTTTCGAGTGCTCAGGCTGTCACCGGAAACCATCAAATGAATTCAGAGTCGAGTCATTCTTATACAGTCTGAACAACAAGATAGCATGCTCCGATTGCGCAATGTCGGATACTGCGTCGGGCATGGGTTACACGTCTGGATTTATCAAGGTATCAGATCTCTCCCAGCTAGTCTACCTATTGAAAATCGCCCTTTCCAGATCCAAGGTCGCTATAAAGAAAGACAGTATAATTGCGTCGGGGTCGGTGGACTACCTCAAGCCTGCCTCTGATATGTCCCATATCCTGGAGGAACCCTCAGAAACAGAAACAACATACTTGAAAACGCTCGATGAAGTCACCACCTTGAGGCAAAAAAGAGAAAGTCAGAAACTCGGTAACTCAGTCAAGCAAAGTGCCAGAAAGTCAGTCATTTTAGGTGCTCCAGAAGCTGCGACGGCGAGGGCCGACAACACCTCGAGTGATGCTGAAGACAGATTACCTGTTGAAAGACAAGGAAGCTCCTCAAGTTCTATGTCCTTTACAACCCTGCGCCGCGATTCTGACTACTTTGACTCTCACAACAGCCCAATCAGAATCCGTGACGAGCCACCTCAAACTATGACAGGGATTAGCTTGGGCCGCACTTCGGATCTCTTGAAGAATGAGAAGTCTTTGACTTTGGACGATATTCCTAGAATCGTTGCTGCAGAACAAGCAAGAGAACAACGGCCCAACGCGTTTAAACACCACAATTCCCTATACCAGAAGAACAATCTGCAGATAAGGTCAGTTAGCAATACCAAGTTCTCGAATGAGCTTTCCCAAAAACCTCTTAGTTCTGAGGAAAGAGCACAAGACAAACACAAGTATTTCTCGGAATTGACACCGCAAGAACACACAATCATGCGCCACATTGCCATTGAGGCCTTGTTAAGCATAAGTAATCAGTTCGCTCGCGAAGAGCTCTTGGCGCATGCCCAGGTTAAGAAGTCAAATACATTCTGGGACAAATTCAAGTTCGGGGGCGACAAAAGCAAGTCTATGAACGTGTTCGGTCTGGATTTGGAAGAAGTGGCCAAGAAATATGGCGTGGACACTAGCTTAGGTGTCGGTCCTTCACAATTACGAATCCCCATGCTAATGGAGGATATCATTCTCGCCCTTCGACAAAAAGATGTTTCTGTCAAGGGTATATTTCGATTGAACGGAAACATCAAGAACCTTCGTGAATTAACGGAGCAAATAAATGCCGCACCTTTGAAATCCCCGAATTATGGGAACTACTCTGCCGTGCAACTCGCTGCATTGATGAAGAAATGGCTCAGAGAACTACCTAATCCGCTTCTAACGTTCAATTTGTATGATGTGTGGATCTCTTCGAGAAGGGCGGAGAATCCGGCAAAAGCAAAGAGAGTGTTACAGCTTTCATACTGCTTGCTTCCGCGAAGCCACCGGAATCTTCTTGAAGTTCTTCTCTACTTTTTCAGTTGGGTGGCTTCGTTTGCAGAGATTGATGAGGAAACAGGTTCAAAAATGGACACGCACAATTTGGCTACGGTTCTTGCGCCCAATATCCTCCTTTCCAAAGCAGCAAGCGGGGACAATGGTGAAAATCAATCCAGCGATGCACACTTTCTCGGTATTGAGGTCGTGAACCTGTTGATCGAGATCCATGAAGACCTCGCCCTCATTCCCAATGATTTATGGGAATTCTACATTAAGTGCGAGTTCAATTTATTGCCCAAGACAGAATCTCTTCCTTCCAAGGAGATTCAGAGCAAAATAAGCAAGGTTGCCAAAGAAAATCCTGACTTCTTCCTAAAGTTCATGAGAAATAATAGCTACACCGAGCCCAGATACCCAAACACAATCAAGAGCGGACAGACCAAAGTGCATGCTGCTGAAAAGCAGAACCGATAATGGTGGTGGGACGTACGTAATTAGTTATCTCAATAAAAAGAATCAAACAATAAGCCCCTGAGAGAGTATGTCACGCCTGGAGAAAAAACATCAAGTAATTCAACCCAACCTGTTGCACCCACAGCGCCACCCAACCGTGATGTACTGTATATAGGTGGCAATGACCACCAACTTCACGCTCATTGAAAGATCTTATCGAAAAAATCTACCACTCACACGAACTCAAGAAATACACAAAACAATGCTGTTGACTGCCAACGAACTCAAGGATATAATTTCCGAGCGCCTTGAAGCCCCGCTTGTGCAAGTTGAGGACATGTCTGGAGGATGTGGCCAGGCGTTTGCCGTGATCATCGTGACGCCGAAGTTCCAAGGAAAAAACAAGCTCATGAGACATCGCATGGTTAACACGGCGTTAAAAACAGAAATTGCATCAATCCATGCATTCACTCAGAAGGGCTTCACGCCCGAGGAATGGAAGGCCCAAGGAGGGACCATTTAGACGGAGACACCGGACCAGGAAAAATCAGTGTGCGACGGCAAGGGCACGTGACCACCAGGGGACATGCTATGCAAAAAGTCTATCATTATTCAGGTCTATAAACCGCAGCATCACGACGAGGGCGGGAGCTTTGGTATGTACTTCGAGCGCACGACAGTCCAGAACACCAAGAGACCCAAGTAGAGAAGCGCGACGGTGGTTGGAAAGAAACGGAGCCCCAAGTCGCTGGCTTCAGCGATAAGGCCGACCAAAAACGGCACCGCGGCGGCACCGCCGCCTCCGAATGCGCAGATGAAGCCGACACCACTGGCGTGGAATTTTACCGGCAAGACGCGGATGGCAGCAACGATGTTGGTGGGGAATATGGGCCCGACAAAAAGCCCCAGGAAGAGTACGATGGGGAACAAGGGCCACGTATAGGGCGTAAGTACCACTATGCAGAACATGACGTGGCCTAGGAGCGAAAGCGCCATGTAGCACCAGTTTGCGTTGAACTCGTTGCGGAAGTAGTGGGCGGTAACAAAGCCCAAGAATATGCGGCCCAACGTGAGCCCCATCCAAAAGGTCGTGGCCATGTACGACAGCAGCTTGTACGAGAGACCATTTATGCGGGTGAGGAAGGTGACAAGCCAGGTGCCGAAGGCCGACTCCGCGCCCACGTAGATGAACATGAGAAGCGAAAACAGCCACACCTGTTTTGAGCCGAGCGCCACCGACAATGGCACCAGGTCTGCGGCAAATTCTTTGGGTTCTGGCGGGTCTGCAGAAGCTGCCAAGTCCTCGAGACCGGAAGCCTCGGTGGTGGACGTGTCTAGACTCTCAATGTCAGACACCTCATCCCACGAAACCTCGCGCGCCTTGCGTGCCTCGTTCATCAATACCATGAAGCGGTACTTGGCCGGGGTCTCGTGGCGGAACACCACCCCAAAGTACACCGTGCATACGGCAGCGATGCTGCTGAGCACCAAGTAGTAGTCGTTCCAGGCCCACGGGTTGGTTTCCTTTTCAAGGAGCCGCGTCACGAGCGGCGGCGAAATCATGCACCCGATGCCGTAGCAGCCGTGGAGAATGCCCAAGAGCTGGTTCAGGTCGACGAGATTGCTCATCCAGCCGTTGAAGCTGGCGTCCAAGGACCCGAAGCCGAGCCCCGAGATAAAGTACGCGGCCACGAAAACCGAGTACGGCGGCCGCTGGTGGATCACGAGATATGCGAGCGCCATGCTGAGGGCCCCGAGAACCCCGACGCCCCGCACACCCAAGCGCCGGTGGCAGAGCTCGGTCGCGAGCGCCATGACAAAGTACCCCGCGGTCTGCGCGAGGAAAATGAACCCGGTGCGCATGTCATCCATTTCGTAGTAATCCTCGAGCACCGGGATCACCGTGCCGATGGTCTGGTCCGCAAGCCCAAACAACACAAAGTTGCAGAAGCCGGCGAGAACCTGCAACCGCAAAAGCACGCTGTTGCGCCAGTCGAGCGAGTCCACTGCTACGTCGCAACCCTCGAACTCCACCGAATACGAGTCCGCGACCGAGCGCTGCGCGAGGCGCCCGAAATCCGCGGCCTCGGTTTGTTTTGTGTTGCCAAGAAAGGGCGCGCCCACGTCCTCAAGTTCAATGTCCATGATGGTTGTATAAAAAAAGGGGGTTTGGCCCGCGCTTGTTTTTACCTTGATTCTAGCGATACGTTCCCACGCCTATTTGTAGAGGTGGGTTGTGTCCTTGATTTTCTCTTTGAGAAGCCTCAACCAGTCTTTTCTTCCCAGCGTATGGCAACAGCTTTATTGCTTGTATATTTTTCTGAAGTATAGCAACGGCTGTTCTTGCGAGTGTGTTTTCGTCAAGAAAAAAAGTGGTGTTGGCGCTGAAGATGCAAACGGATGCCACGGATTTTTTAAGGCATCTCACGGTATGGTGTATTGCTGTTTCTCGTGTACGGCTGTCAGGGTGCGTATCTACGCGAAATTGAGAGGTTGCGATGCCGAAGTAGATCGTTGAGATTTCTGATCGGTTGAGTTTCTTCGACATATCAGTTTTTTAGTAGATTTGTCTGATCCGCGTCTATCAAAAATACATTTTGGGACGTATTGCCCATCTTGAGAAACGGAAAACCATCTGGCTTCCCGGATCTCGGAGAACATGCTGAAAACCATATGGTGGCAGATCTCTCATAGATGCCGTGAGAATGCAGGAAACCAATACGTGTTAATACTTTGGGCAGCTCATTTTGCTCATAATCCAGTTATTGTTCCTAGTTTTCGGGCCACCTTATAGTCACGCGGGCCAAATACAACTAGCTCCTGGATTTTAGAGCACGACGGAAAATTATCATGGCAACATTCAATAAAAAGTATAGAGGACACACGATGAAGCTTTCATGGTGCAGCATCAAGCCATGACCGCTATGGTCTGCAAAGCTCGAAATGTTCACATTCAACGAGGGTCAGGTGGATGTAGAGATCATAGCTGTATTCCATTGTAACATTCTGCCTCACCATGCGAGCTTCTATCAACATTGGCGTTCTTGTGAAAGTGTGATTAGAGTCCCTGAAAATCATAGGCCAAGTGTTTGAAATTTCTGGCGAAAATATCTTTCATCCTTCGAAGTGTGTGTCTATTCCTGCCTCTGTCTTATGCCTTACCAGGTTTCCCAAATAGGGGTCAACATGACCAGCATTAGACATTGCTGTATCTTTGACACGTGTCTCCAATATTAAATGCGACCATAAGAACGTGATGATGAATCAAAAAGCCACTGTAAGTAGATAAAGATTAGGACGGCCCCGCTGATTCATGGAAAAATATGAGTGTGGTCATTTATTCAGGTATCATACCTTACTAGTCTAAGCCAATAGTCACTAGTCAACTAAGAAGCAAAACAAAGGTTGGCAGTGCCCCCGAAATTGCGCATTGATATGATTCGCCGATACAAAATACCATGTCATAATGCCAAGTAGGGGCATTTCGCATACACTACATCAGAACAAGCCAACTTCAAAGAGGTGAATTAATAAAGTTATACGCCTAGTGTATCTTTCGAAAGAAAACTGTATCATTTTGTCTAAATCTGACTTGTCTTTTTTTGCCATGGAAAATTTCAAAATATATGAGGAATTGGTGCGAAAATAAAAATGCAAAGGTACTGTTTTTTGCCGGGCGAAACACTATAGTGGTTTATGAATTGCCTTTCGAAGAATCTGGCATTTTTTTCTTTGCTTTTCTTTTTGTACCTTTTTTAGAATTAAAAAGTAAGAACCATATCGTCGTCAACAAAGTATGAGCTTAAAAAAGTCTAAAAAATGAGAATTGAAAGATGTGACCCACATTGAGACCCGTGGATAAGTCTAACTTCTCTAGTTCCCGATGCTTGACTTCAAAAATCACGAACACAACTTTTGTCGGTCTAAGGACCGTCTTTCAAAAAGAACTGACGTAAATAATTTTGCCAGTCATACACAATCTTCAATAACCTCAAATAAATTCAATCCACCGGTAAATTGCGCTTTTAAAACTCCAATGGTTCGAAAATTTAGTCATTCTTGCTAGGCCCTTGAAAGGTTTATACTCAAAGCGTTACTAGTTTTAGTGTATTTTCATTTTGGCCTTGTCAGGAGCATTGAACTGGGGTACAAGAAGCCAAGGTCTTCTTCGAGACAAAGAGAACATAGTTTTAAGTTGAATCGAATCGAATGTTGTCCAATTGTGTGTCTTATACAAGCTCTTTATTGGAAAACAAAGAGAGAGCGCGTACCGTCAACAAAGGAAGAATGGGAATGTATCTAAAAGCTGAAGGCAATATATAAATTCGTTTTTGATTTTACCACACCAGATCATGTGTCTCCTATTAGAACATGTTCTTCACCTTAATCTGTCCACATCTAACCCACCACCTAATACTATTACTATTATTTGAGAAAACTTTACACGTCAAGATCGCTTTTGCAAGTGTAGCAACAGCAATGTAGGAGCATATACACCAATAGCCAAAGAATTCCACAATAGACGAGAGCAGATGCCATACCATCTCAGGTGGCTACGGGCTAGCTAGCTTTCAAGATCTCATCAAATGGTACCCGACATAAGCCTTTGGCTACAACCGCAGAGAGTGTACTTTTCTTAGTAATTCGGGCGACTAGCTGAAATAATTTATGTTTTGTATGTCTTTCTGCTTTCTTGGTGAGATTCACCTAATTCAAGGAACGAAAATACAAATTTTATATGGGAATCTTCAAAAAGCGCTCAAATACATATCTACTGTCGATAATCGGTCCCCCTTCTGTTATTCACTGCTTGAATGTTTTTTTCTTTCGCGAGCTTATGTTTACATATTGAGATTTATGTCGTCGATTCTCACAATAAGTCTCCTATATTAGTTGCGTCAACTCAGCTGGTTGGAAGAGAATTGAGGAGCTCATTTCCTTTTTCTTCCCCTTGACTTTTTTTTTGGTAGATTCATCTGATTAAAGGGGCAAAACTATATAACGAATATATATAAAAAACCTTTAAACAGCTCCCAGCTACGTACCAAGTGTCGTAGCTCGGCCCGTCCCCTTCCGTTAGTCACGGCCTGGACAGTCCTCATGGCACGTACCTGGCAGCAGCTTTAATCGAGCCGGATTTGAATAAATATGAAGTAAACCACTCAGAATAAGGCTTTGAAGAAGATAAATGAACATGTATCAGTGCAATCCAGATAGTAGACTTTGCAGAAAATAAAGTGTCCAGATTAGGAATATTCAACAGTTGCCTCCTTAGCTTAGTGGTAGAGCGTTGCACTTGTAATGCAAAGGTCGCTAGTTCAATTCTGGCAGGGGGCAGCCTTTCCAATTTTCAAAGCGCAAGTGGTTTAGTGGTAAAATCCAACGTTGCCATCGTTGGGCCCCCGGTTCGATTCCGGGCTTGCGCATTATTTTTGGACTCACGGGTCATTCAAGACATAAGTCAGGTGTCTGCGTTAAGTGAGCACATCCAAGCTTATGAGGAAACAGATGGCGACTTCTCTGCGTAAAGTAGATAGATGGCTGGTGTGACATCAAACCAAAATCGCAAGATGTATAAATTATCTTCATGACTAGCGATGTTTTGCCTCGGTGACTGGACTTTGAAGATTAGAAAGACTTTTGATTCACGTATTCGAACAAAACCACTCCAGTAAATCCTGTATACAATGGAAAGATCGATAAATGGATTCGGAGCTCAGCTTGAGTTGTCTTCCATTAGCAAACATGCCCTCCCCCACGTCGAGTAAAACAATCGCAAGAGTAACAAACGCTAGTATGTTAACGACCAAATAAAACTATAATATTCAGAACTAACGATTAGTCCAGAAATTGTACCCGTTGCACCTAGCAGACAAATCATGGGACAACACCGGCTTATTGGTAGACTCTTCTTCCGAGACAGCTCCTGAAAGCGAAGAAAAATGTAAGATACTTTTGACCATTGACTTGACACAATCAGTGGCAAGCGAAGCTGTCAAAAATAATAGCAATGTTGTGATTGCCTACCACCCATTTATTTTCCGGGGATTGAAGTCCATTACGCCTAAGGACCCCCAACAGAAATCTTTGCTTAGACTAATTCAAAACAACATTAGCGTGTATTCTCCACACACTGCCGTTGATAGTGCGAAAGGAGGTGTTAACGATTTCTTGGCGGACGGTATCTCTGGTTCTTTCAAGGAAAGCACAAGAGAGGTGATCCTCCCCGATTCGAAAGAAGAGGGCTGCGGTATGGGAAGATTAGTGACGCTTGCACAAAGCGCACCACTTAGCGAGCTCGTGAATAATGTGAAGTCGTCTTTGAATTTGACGCATGTGCAAGTAGCCACTGCAAGGAAGAGCGATCTGACGCAGGCCATACGTACAATTGCCATCTGTGCGGGCTCGGGTGGGTCGGTATTCAAGGGCACACATGCAGACTTGTATTTTACCGGCGAGTTGTCTCATCATGAAGCACTCTATTTCACAGAGACGGGGTCTTCAGTAGTGGCCTGCAACCACACCAACACAGAGAGAGCTTTTTTGAGAGTTTTGAAATCTCAGTTGGAGAAAGAACTCCCAGAAGCGGAAATCGAGGTGAGTCAGGTTGACAGAGACCCTTTCGAGACATGGTAAATAGTTGCATGGAAGGTAGTTGGAAATGACTGTATGGGAGAAGTTCTAGTTATAATTTAGACGAAAAACATGCCGCGTTTTACTTAAAAATCAATGGTGGCCGTGTTTGGGCTTAAGAATCGGATTCTTTTTTCTGGACATTTCATGCGGTGCTGATCAATTGGATGCATTCAATAATGCAGGCAAGCCAAGTTCTCGCTTTCAATGAGTTGTTCTTTCGTTCACGGCATTTCACAGTTTGGTGTGTGATTAGAGGGACACAAGAGAAAAGTGATGTGCACTGTACTATTCTCCTTTATCTGAAGTCTTCAAGAGGGACGTGGGATTGGGTGCATGAATCACATTTTTGGTCTGAAGGAAGTCAAGAAACCATAGATATTGTATAATTAGCTATAAGTACTATGGACATATATGGGTATAAATTGTATTTCAACGTATTAGCTGCTGGTTTCAGACGAAGCACAGGTTGAGCCAGTGTTGAATGCTCAAGTGGAATGTGCTTGAAAGTACCGGGGTGACGTACAAACCCAGTTTCGTTGCAATAATTTGAGCCTCAGAGAACCTTCCGAGGTATATCTGAATACGAGTGCATGAGTAAGTTCGCTAATGCTTTCAGTCTTCCTCCTATTCCTAGGATTGACTGACTTGCTTGCCCAATGGAATAATTTGAGGCAAACCAAATCTCTGGCTCCGAGAACGTCGGCTCCTGGATTTGTCAATCATTCAAGTACCGCCATCAAACCACGATTCAGCATAATCAATAGCATTGTCAAAAGCATCTTCCAAGCTTTCATCGAGATTATCAATGGTGTCGCCTACACTGCCCAAAAGGTTGCCAAAGAAGCCATTTTTGTGGCCTGTTTCAGTGCTCTGCGCAGATGAGGTCAGCATTTCAGATTGAATGAAATCACTAGGTCCTGGCAACGACAAGGATTCGGGTAATGGCGTAGATGATGCAAATGATTCTAGTGACGAGTACACGTCCCCGTAATTGTCCTCTACTGCGTCAGCTAGCGCCTGGTCCAGAGAAAGACGCCACAACTGGTCGTAAGTGGCGTTTCGGACAATGTGTTCCACTTCATATGGCAAATCTGGAAACACCAAATTATCAGACCAGTCATCAGGTAAGGAGTTTTCTGTGGATATCGAGAAACCCTTTCCGGAAACTGTTCCGTTGTTCACACCAGGCGTGATTTGCAAAGTCTCACATACAATGTTATACACATTGACATTGGTGAAAGGCAAGACTTTCTTGTTTTCAGAAAGCTTCTGCTCGAAGTAAGGGCCCTGGCCCAAGAAGATCGCCCGCATTAGCAAATGCGTATTGTTATAGCCATGCACACCCTTGGGGTAGTAGTCGTTGTTGTTCTCTGCGAACTTTGCTCGGGTGGTGACGGAATAGCCTACGTTTGGCACTATCCAGATTGGGGCAAGGCGGTAGTTGAACTTATGGTCGGTCAAGTTGCCACCAAACTGCCATTCCGGAGGGATTTCTTCCACACGGTACAAATTGAAATTATCCTGGGTGTCTGGGGTCGCAGAATCAAGGTTTGCTTTGATTTCCAGGTATATTTCATCGACAGAGTGTTCCGGCCGGGGCCTTAAGCCGAACAACGGCCAGCCATCGATGTGCTCGATTTTAGTGATTTCGACCACATCATCCAAGAAAAGAAGCCGATCGTTTGAGGTGGGCGCCATGCCGTGATCACTCACTACAATGACATTGACGATGTCCTGAAGATTTCGCTGGGCCAACTTGTCCTGTGTGAGCTGTACAAACTCGTCCACATAGCGCAAGGCGCCGGTCAACTCCGGCCCGCTGATCCCGAACTTGTGTCCAAACTGGTCAATTGTCGGTACATATGCGAGAATAAGTTCTGGCCTCCGGCTCAAATCGTCGATGTCAAGCCACGAAAAAATACGATCCGCTTTGGCCGCAAGCGGCTCCGAACCATTATACTTGTCAATATAGGTAGGCCCATTATCGCCAACACCTGGAACCTCACTTCCTGGCCACATGTGGATGGCTGAACGCACGCCTTGTTTTGCAGCGGTGGTCCAAACGGGTTCACCGCCCTGCCAGAACTGCGGGTCGAGCCCCAAGTCCGGGTTTGTATTGATGAACTGCTTTTTTAAGAGCGGGTCGTAGAAGGTGTTGCCCACAATACCGTGGTCCGCGGGATAGAGACCCGTGACCAAGGTCCAATGATTAGGAAACGTCAGCGAGGGAAACGATGGCACCATGTGCGGGGCTCCATATCCATCCACAAGCATCCTGTGAAGTGTGGGCGTGTTTTCCGCGTTGATGTAGTGCGGATGAAATCCGTCCAAAGATATAAGAAGTGTGGTGGGATGGAAGACATGCGTTGAGTTGGAGAGAAGAATCTTTTGCAGTGGCAGTTCGGCGGGCATTAGCCCGTCTTTCTTCAAGAAAAGGAACGCAAACACAAAAACAAGCCCGCATGCAAAGCACAAGATTGTCTTGTTGAGTTTCCGCTCTAGCCTGGTGATCTGATACTTCCTTAGATCGGACATGGAGTCGTTCCCCGCGGCGGCATCGTCATCATCGATGTTGAAGAAATCAATGTCACTGTTATTTTCCGAGGGCTCATACAAACCCGTTCGATCGTTTGGCTTGAAAAAATTCTGGATTCTGCGGAGAATGCCGGGGGTATTAGATGCCTGGCCCTGGTTCGCATAGTCCAGTAGATCCATGAACTTGTACAGGTTTGTGCCCGGATTTTCGATTGGGAACGTGTCATCATCGGGCTCATCGAGATCTAGAACAGGCACGTCAACCTTGTGCGGAGTGTTGGGATATTGCAGCATTTTGTGGAATGGCTAGGATGATTCAGCTCGTTGTGAAGGGATTGTTTAATATCTAATACGCAAGGGTATTTTTATGCAAGACAACGCGCACTCACCTCGTGGTTTAACGGACAATAGCGAGTTTCAAAAAGCTTTCATCTCTTGACTCAAAAATTGCAAAAAATTAGAAATTGCAAACATTAGAACTTAATTTGTTTCGAAGAAAGAAAATGCTTTTTGGGTAGGATATGAGGTGTTCGACAGTGTGGAGATGCGGAGTGTGGCCTCACTAGTACCTTCTCTGTGTGTCGATTTCCTTTTCTGCTAGCTCTTTAAATCTTTAACAGACGATTTTTTTGTTTAAGCTTTCTGCATTAGTAGACGTTCTCAATGCCGTTTTTTTTTCCGCTCATGATCCTTCGGATGAATAGGATTCCACGCTTGTCCATATGAGACGGATTTCTGGTTTCAAACCCCTAGGCTTGTTTCTAAGGTCCAGAATCTTCGTAAAGTTCGGCTTCATTCTTCAGATCCCAAGAGGTAAGGATTGTAGTGCAAGAGTATTTGGAAATTTGTGGCGAATGTAGTCCAATTATTCGATATCATGACTGAAAGCTCAGTCTTCGAGTGTTGCCAATTTTACTTCAGCTTTGTCCACCAAGACGGCACAATTTTGGAGTTTTTTGGGTAAAGGCTGTATTTATTTCTCAGCCGTGAATCACTCCATTCTAAATCGAATCTTTGCACACCCACAACATCCAGGTTTCCATGAATCAAAATAGAGCATCTGTAGACAAGAGCATCGTCATGATCAGCAATTCTCCCCTGCTTATATTGAACGAATTTGCGAATCATACGAAAGCCGACCTGGGAAGCCTCCTTGGCGTATTTACAAAAGCATGCAATTTCGACTCATGGCGTCTGTTACCCCCTTGAACCGATAATTCACAGAGTCATTGATCACCTATAGCTGCATCAAGACCAAAAAGTAACTTTCCTCGAAAACCATAGACTTCAGGTGAACATAGAATGGGATGCACGAGAAAAAAACACCCAAGAGCTTGAGCTGTCGCTCAAATTCTGACTCTCTGCTCTCTCTTTTTTGCCCTGGCCTGGAATACCTTGATCCTCAAGGCCATGAGCCTATCATCCTTCAAGTCCCGTGCAGTTAAATCGGCCTGGCAGCCTGTGATTGGGCACTTGATCTTGGAGTTATGCTCTAGCTGCTGTCGGATATACTTACTTTCGAACACATGTTGACAGCGCAGCGAGATCACAGGCTCGGAGAAGTAGTCCATCGAAAGCGGATCCTTTAGGGACACTTTGCCACCAGAAACAGCCAACTCTTCGTCCGTGGATTCATCTGGAAGCGGGTATTCGGGGTTTTCGATGACGAAAAGCGCGTTTTTCAAAAACTGGTAGACGGAGTCAGCATGTAAGGTTTGTGTAAACGCGTCATCCGAACCCAGGGTGTTGTCGAGCGTCAAGGCTACGGAATCTGCAAAGTTCTCCTTGTCCATGTTACGATAGAAATCAAGGTTTTCGAGGCTCAAGTCCGGCTCATTTCGCCTACTCTCTATAATGTTTCGTTGTGTTGACTTGAAACTGTCCTGGTAATTCAGGAGCTTGTGTTTCAGCATGAGAAGATCGGCATAGTTTTGTCTCTGGGCGCCGAGGAATTTCGTGGCGTTTTCGTCCTGGAATAAGTGCACATTACTAGTCATATATTTGAGGAACCGGTCGACGCTATTCCTCACCGTTACGAGCTGTTCATCTATTTGTTTAACATACAGATGTGGCGCAAAATCCGTTGTCATTTTGAGCGACAGATGTACCGGGTAATAAGACGGTAAATCCGTGTTGAAGTCGGGAAGCGGTGCCACAGCATTGGGCTCTGGGGATTCCGACATCGTGAGAGAAAATCAACGGTGATATATAATAATAGGATTTCACGTACTTACTCCGATTGATTCGCATCAATTCTGATGAGCGCGTCGCGCATGTTGAAAAGTGCGTCACGTGCAGCCTGTAATTTATTTACTGTTCAATAGAGAGTATGAGCTGGAGGACATCATGTCTGCTTCAAATTGTCTTTTGATGTATTCAGGCAGGATTAGGAGAAGACTGGAATGGAGTTGACCCCATGCTCTGTAATCCGGAGTGACTTAATTGTTATACTTTGGAACGTGTTTCACTACTCGATCTCACCTGTTGCTCCATGCTGAGAATATCATGTAAAAGAATTGCTGGAAGTGCTTTAGTTGAGATTTCAAAACACTACTATTAAGGCCAAAGGCAGCCTCTTCCGATGTACAAACAAAGAAAAAGCTATTTTATGTCCCTTTGCTCCATTAATCAAATGAATCTACCAAAAAAAAAAAAAAAAAAAAAAAAAAAAAAAGGGCACAA